TAAAGAGGGTTAAGTGACTTCCCCAGGGTCACAGAGCTAGTGTCTGAGGCTGGATTTGAACTCAGGTTTTCCTGACTCAAAGCCACCTAGTTAGGGGCAATAGTGGCTAAGGTGCTAGACTTGAAGTCAGAAAACCCGTGTTCAGATTCTGCTGTCTGCCCTGATTGAGCAGAGTGATCCTGAGCAAGTCACTTAACCTCAGTTTGCATCTACAAAATGAGGATAATAATAGCACCTACCTTTCAGGCTGAAAGGTTCAAATGAAAGAATATATGTAAAGTATTTTGTAAAACAAAGAGCTATATTAGTGCTAGCTATTGTTATTAAGTCTGAGTTTTAATTAATGTAAAGGACAGATACTCTTTTGACTTTGAAGCCCTTGGTAGGAATTTAAAAGGCGTGCGGCACAGGTGACGCGCTTTATCTTTTAAGACCGTAAAATACTATATGAAGGTGAATTAGCATTATTGTTATTGGATACTGGGACCTGGCTCAGTGTCCCATCGGTGCCACGTTCGATGCCCTGTCTCCCTGAAAATCAGAGTCGGGACCTAAGTTTCAGAGCACAGTCATGAGGACATGATGACTGTGGCCTCTTGGGTAGAAGGTTCCCTAGAAGACCAGAAAGGCCCATTCCAACACTATTTAGGATCATGATTTTACTTTTTAGAACAAGGAAATCAGTATCACATCTTATCATCTTTAAACCCTGGCACTATACCTTACAGGTAATAGTTGTCCAATAAATATTTATCAGGGACAGCTGAGTGGCACAGTGGATAGAGTGCTGGGCCTGCAGTCAGGAAGACTCGTCTTGTTGAGTTTAAATCTGTTCTCAGACTCTTGCTAGCTCTGTGTTCCCAGGGAAGTCACTTAACCCTCTTTGTCTCAGTTTCCTCATCTGTAAAATGAACTGGAGAAGAAAATGGCAAACTGCTCCAGTATTTCTGCCAAAAAAATCCAAATGAGGTCCTGAAGAGTCTGACACAACTGAAAAATGATTTAACAACAAAATATTTGCTGGATGAACGAACAAGATGTTTTAAAATTTATAACCCCAGGCTAGAAGGGAATACTTGTAACTAACTCTCTAAATTAATGGGGATTAGGAGACACTTGGCCCTGACACCATTACAAGGAATGCACTGACCGACAGGGTCAATGTTAAAGTTAGATAGGAATGGTGGGAGGGAATGATCAGTCAGTTCGGCTCTTGGAAGCTAGACTGTGACAAGATTCCTGGGCTTCAAAACCTCTTCCATCCTATTTTTGTCTTAATTTATTTTTCCCTTTAGTTACTCATAAAGTTCTTTTTGAAAACCAATAATAAAAATAATAAAAAAACCTCAATTTTCTCAGTTGAATGAAGGAAAAGAAATTTGTCAATACCTGGGCCAAGAGAAATGTAGGGAAATTTGAGAACCTCCCAAAGCCAGGCATGGGCTAGTAGAGCAGAGGTTTGGCTATGTCAGAAAGAATTTGTCTTTTGGAAAAGATTAACAAGTTTTATTTCTGTAATCCTGATTCTTTCAATGGTTAACTTTAAAAAATTACTTTGAACTTACTTTTCTGGTAGGTTATATCTTTCCCCCCTATAATTACCTTGAGGGTAATTGGACTTCAGAAGAGGAACTGAGGCAAACAGGGTTAAAAGACTTGCCCAGGGTCACACAGCTGGTAAGTGTCTGAGGTCAGATTTGAACTCAGGAAGATGAATCTTCCTGACTCCAAGGCCAGTGTTCTGTCCACTGTGCCACCTAGCTGGCCTCATTACTCAACTGACACTGCTCTCTCCCAAGTTCCTATGACCTCTTAACTGCCACATTGCTATGGTCTTTTCTGCTGAGCACCATCTCCTCTCCAGGTTTTTGTGGCATTGCTCTCTCCGGGTTTCTCCCTTCTGGCTGACTGCTCCTTCCCCATCTTCTTTGCTGGTTCACCATCCATATCATGCCCCTCATCTGTGGATGCTCCCTAAAGCATGACATCTTCTCTTTAGACTCTCTCGGTGACCACCTCTCTCTGGGTGTCCATGGAGTTTATCATCAGATCTATATAGTCAGTCCCAATCTCTCCACTGACCTTCCGACCTGCATCACCAAATTGCTTATTGGACATTTCAAATTGGATATCCAAGAGGCATCTGACACGCAGCATGTCCAAAGATTAAACTCATCATTTTCCCCTCCTCACTTCCAAACCTCTGTATCTCTGCTGAAGGTACCACCATTCTTCCCATCCCCCAGGTTTAAAGGGTTGCCATTATTCTCTACTGCTCATTCTCCCTCATCCTAAATACCCAGTTTCTAAGTCTCGCTGTTTCTGCTCTGCAACATCTTTCACATCTGACCTCTTTCCCCTACCAATATAGCTACTACTTTAGTCAACATCTCTTGTCTAAATTATTCTAACAGCCTCCTAATTGGGCTCCCTGTCTTGTTTCTCCCCACTCCAGTCCATCCTACACACTGCTGCCAAGGTGATGTTCTTTAAGCATAGGTCTGACCAAGTTGCTCTCCTACTGATACCTCTCTACCTCTAGTAGGTCCCTATTGCTTCAGAAGCAAATACAAACCCCACATTTTAGCTTTATAAGCCCTTCACCCACTGGACACAACCTATGTTTCCAACCTCATTGGACAATGCTCCCTTTCCTGCACCACTGCGGTCTTGCCAAACTGGTCTTCTCTTACACATGATGATGCATTTCCTGTGCACTGGCCAACTCCCATGCCTGGAATGCACTCCCTCCCTAAGTCTGCCTTCAAGATGCAGTCCAAGGACCACCTTCGACTTGAACCTTTTCCTCATCCTCTCCAAATGCTAGTTACCGTAACTCACTGAGTAATTGTCGCAGCTTTTATGTCAATTTTTGCCAAAGTGGGGTGTGACCATCATGTGAAGACTTTTCCTTAATTGTACCCGTATTACTTGTCTTTTAGTTTCCACCGGTCTCTTACCAACTTTTCACTCACTAAAAACTTTCCACAACTGTTTCCATGCTATTCAGTGAACACAATCACTTTCAGCTTGAAGCCCACAGAATAGTTATTACATTTTTCCATAATCAAAAAGAAATGCTTTGCACATTAGTGTATCACTAGCAAACGAACTGTACAGTTTGGCTAGCTCGAGAAGATGCGAGTCTTAGCCTATTATGTGACTTACTCATGGCAGCACTGCCTGCCCGCTCTCTCTCCTTCAGCCTACAGCTCTTCGTTGGGTTAAGGGCCAATGCTGTTAGTTAGTACTGCAGCACTCCAAACAAACCACGCAAGTCAACTTTCTGGAATATCCTTACCATATACCTGTGCTGAGAATTCTAGGCTTGAGGGATATGTGAGAGATAAATGGGTATCCATATGCCACTGGTGAATCTATCTGCTTACATTTTAAGTGGTGTGACAAACAGAATTATTCCACGCAACAATTATGTGATGAAAGGCTATAAACCAATTTTTGGACCGGAAAAAAAAAGTGCCCCTACCTGGGCCATGGTGCAACGATTATGAAATATGGTACTTGTCTCTTAAACTACTTTGTATTTAACTACTGTTTATTCTAATTCGGTACATATTTCTATGTATTTGCTTTCTCCTCTTTCACAAAGTGAGCCCCTTACAAGTAGAGATTGTGACTTGTCTAGAGTCACATAGTATTTGTCATAAGTGGGAATTGAACCAAGTCTTCTCAGTTCCACTGTGCTCTTACATGTGTAGCCAGCACTTGAATGTATTGTCTATTGAGTAATTGACAGCCTCATAAAATCCTTTAAAACAGGTACAATTATGCCCATTTTATTGATGAGGAAACAGGCTCAGAGGTTAAATAACATGCCCACGGTCACAGAGGTGGAGAATTTGAGATCCAATCCTCTTGGCTCACATATACATACTTGGTACCTTGTTACACACCTCATTTGATCTTCACCTCACAACACTGAAGTAGGCAGGGCTGGCCTGTAGAGATGAACTGCTGACCTTGATGGAGAACCCAGGGCTTCCGTGCAGTGCACCTTACCTTCTCTCACACCGCATCAAAGATTCCCTGAATCACGGCAATGGGTGACTGAATTGTTCGGAGTGAGGAAGTAGGAGACGAAAGCTCCACGAAGGAGAGGCAGCATGGGAAAGGAGGAGAAGGGAATTAAGGCAAGAGAAAGGCAAGACCACTGGGCTTGGGAGCCGAACTTGGGCTCTTGTTTTCAATCTGACACTAACTTACATGACCTCTGCCAAGCCATTTCTCCTCATCCCTCATCTGCAAAATGAATGGATTGGACAAAATTATTTCCATGGTTTCTTCCAGCTCTGACATTTACATTCCACTGTTTCAACTCCCAAATGCTGGCTGGCCATCTTGTCCCCTTCTGTCCCCCATAGTTTTCTGTCTTCCCCCACTTTAATCTATTTAATCTCAGCAGCCAAATGTGATCCATTCACTTTTTCCATCCTCATTTTAAGCTCAGAAGTAAGATCCTGCAAGTTGTGTTTTGCTTTGAGGAGTCTGTGTGAAGATTTCTGCCCATCTTTTGAACCAAGGGCACGCATGGACACAGCCTCAGAACTCCCTCTAAAAGCCTTGAAAGGGGCCCAGTGCAAAAGAGGGGAAAAGACAAACATTTGATCTCCAAGTTGAACTCCTTTAGAAATCAAGACAGATTACCACAAAATTTATTTCACCTGTTCTATTTTCTCACATTGGGAGTAGTGAAGGTGGGAAAATTGACTCAGCTGTGTGAACAAACCCTTCTTGGTTTTGTTACTGCCAGGGTCAAAGCCTAGAGTTTTCTTTTTTAAAAGCCCTAGTCCTTGGATACCTTCATTTCAAACTCTAGGATGAGCAAATATTTTCCTTGGAATTTGTAACCACTTCCAAGGAAATCTGGCAAAACAATGGGCATCAACTTCTTTCTACTTGCTGCCACCTATAATTATCTGCTATGACAGCGCTCGGCTATTTTATTTTCCTGTACGGATAAGAACAAATCACCAAATAGGCAGAGTGCACAAAAATTTATTTACAAAAAAATCCAAATTACATATAATACAGACTTTTTACACACAAGAAAACATAACAGCTTTTATTTTTATTATTTTGTACTACCAGAAGGTAAAGAAAAATATTTATTTTTAATAAACCACCTATTCATTTTCATCTATTGTTATACAAAGTTGTAGATCATGCACAATTCTTTACAGTTTTAAAATGTTTTGCTAAGTGCAAATACTAAATTCCTCTTTCCACCATTAAGGCAAGTAAAATGGGACTCTAACTGGGGAAGGGCGGAGCCTTGCTCACTGCGGAGACCTCTCGGGCAGGCAGCTGCCTCAGTCTGGGAGCTAGACAGCCATGACTGTGGCATAAAAGGAGCCAAACTGTACAATGCAGAGCCTGCAAGATAGGAGGGCTTTTGTTTGCTTTTGCTTTATTTCCCAGGAGCTGGGCTAATCACTTTGGACTTCCTGTCATTTTTATCTGTGCACATGATTGCCTGCCAGTGGGATGGGATTCAGATCTCTTTGGCCTCTCCAATAACTCCTCACTCTAGTGCAGGGCAGAGTGACGATTCTCTGCAACAATATGCCTCCCAAAGCAAGAGCCCTGGGAGAGGATGAATTCTATCTCAGAGAAAATTGCTCCCACTGACAAACAGAACAAGGCAATACTAAAACTAGGTGGTAGTGACCACACCATCAAAAACAACCACTTGCCCAATTCCTTTTCATTTCTTTGAAGCTCCCCCACCTCATCTGTGACTTGGTAATATTTAACTCTGCAAGTTTTGCAAAACCAGGTAGCTAAATGACAAGAAAAAAGGGTTTCTGTTTGCTTGAAATCCAAATATCATTTGGAGCATGAGCACAGTTAAGTCAAGTTGGCTGTTGGGATTTTCTGTTGCAGACTGCAAGAGTTTCTCACCAAGAATATTTAGAGTTAGGAGAGACCAAATAGGTCACCTACCCCAACCCACATCATTTTACAGATGAGGAATCTGAGACCCAGCGAGGTCAAGTGACTTGAATAAAGTCACACAGGCAGTGCCAGGATTTGAACCCAGGTCTCCTGACTCCAAATCCTGTGCTCTTTCCACATCATCATATTGATTCAACAATTTGAGTAAGATCAATGGTGGATGTCAAGCATTTTTCCCAGCGAAGAGAGCACAACTACACACAAACCCAAACAGCCAAAGCAGTGGTTTCCAAGGATAGGGAGGGGTTTGTCCAGGCTTTTTGTGAGCCTGTCTCACATATGCCACCCTAAAAATCATCCATCTTTCCCCAGCTATTGCAGAACCAAATGCTTTTCTGTCTCGTTCCCCAAATTTAACATGTTAACATATACACACTGTAAAGCAACGCAAACGAACAGAAACTGTAAGGTGAATGGTCTAATGAAAGTGACGGCTCATTTGACTAAGTGTCCTCTCAGGTGGTTCTACATGTGCCACTTGCCACCTACTGCCTTCTGAATCTACTGCACAGCCAAGCTTGACTGCGCACGCACACACCTCTGTGGGGGAGAGATGCCCACACGTAGGATCCACTGTCAATGGAAAACCTGACACTTAACCTGGATGGCGCAGTTTGCTGTAAAGGAAATCCTGGCTCAGCGATCTTCCAATTCTGAAATTCTAGGATTCGAGCCCCTTCCGTGGTCCCTACAACCACTGTCACAAAGGAAGTTATTGGGGGGAACCTTTTTTTAACGATACTTAATAAAAGGAGCTCCTGTGCTTTGTAATAAACCAATCTACTGCCCCGGAAGGCACATCCGTGACACATGCATGATGCATATCACAAAAATACCGATGGAAAAGGCACTGGTTATTAGGGCTAGTCCTGAACCTCAGGCAGACAAAACAGGCATGTCCCTCAAAAGTGATCATATAGAAATTTATAAGGAATGACTGGACCTGAGGGGAAGGAAGAGAGTCTAGAGAAGAGCTCTTCCTGAAGATACAGTCACAAATTTGGACCAGAAGCCCTCTGCTCAAAATTCTTCCTTGCTCTCATCTGCCACATCTCTTGAACCAATCCTAACATAGCTTTCTCTCTCCAAATACTAGGTCCTAACAGACCATCATGTGGAAAGGCAGAAGTATGAAAGGCATTTCTTTGGAGGCTGGATTTTTTTCTTTCTGATCTTTGAAGCACGTCTAATCGGCTGATGGGTGATATCTTGATTACCAGTAAACCAGACAGCTCTATTCTGGTTAATGGGGAAATGTTTTCTTGCCCAAAGCCCCACTGATTTCACATGTATGCTAGGTGTTTGACGTACCAATGCTAACAGGCATAGCTGTAAGAGTATCCTTACTAATAACAGGGAGGCCTTTACTGCTGCAGCAATGATGCTTGAAATAGAAAGGGGCATAATAACACACACACACACACTTCTATCTAACCTTTTTGGGGGTCTGACATTTAAGAGTAAAGCCTCCAGCCAGACGCCAAGTAACTGATCAGCTAGATTCACTAATGAAATGAAAGCAAGTGAATTGGCAACCATATGTCCTAGTTTATACATAGAAGGCTGATGGCAAAAGGAGAACAAGGAAAATAATTTTCCAAATCTGTGGGGTGGGAGAAATCAGAGGAAATAAAAGTAACTTATTCAGCAGGCAAAAGAAGTGGGGAAGTTACTGGTTGGACCCCTGCACATACAATGGCTCATTCTATGACTGCCACGGGCCAGTCTTCCAAAGGAAGTTTGGAAAAAGTTGCAGCAGAAGTACCACAGGTCCTAGAGCCTAAGCTGCAAGCTACATTCCAGAGCCAGAAGCCAAGACTTTTCCGGAGGGAAAAGACTTCAGAAATGTTAATAACTAAGATCTACATATAAGCACTTATCACATTAACATTGAGGGGAAACTGGATGCACAAAAAGAAGTGGGATGCTCAGTCTTCTCTTCTGCCCCTCCTTAAGTACAGTGTAACAGTATGCTGGCCTGCCTGCCCCTGGCTGTCCAAGGGAATATCTTTTAGGGTAAGGTGCAGTTTTAACCTGAATAAAGACCAGCTAAGCAGCATTCAGAAATTTACATCCCTATATAGACTTTTTTTCCTTTCTCTTTATATAAACAAAACTTAGCAGCAAAAGTTGAGAAATAGTTAACCATGTGGTTCTGATGTCACCAAAGATTATCCCAGCACTAGGCTAGTAGAAGAGTCAAGGGGAGGCCCAGAGATGGTGATGCTACAATACAGAGATTGACTGTTCTGGGTAAATACTGGGAGGAATCTTTCAATACAACTAAAGGAGTTTAAGATCAGCTCTTACTAGTAAGCTTGGTTTAGAAAAGCTGATTCTAGAAAAGTGGATTTTCCAAGGAATAAGAATCAAAGTGGGGCACAGGTAATCAGAGAAGAATGGGGCAAACCAATCAGGTCGGAAGTTTATTTTCAAAGTCTCAAACAATAAGATTATTTAGTGATTATTATTTTTTTTTGGAGGCAGTAGAAAGGGGAAGGGGAGGGGGCTGAAAGGAAGAGAGTGAGAAAACCTTTCTGGATGAATAACACTCACTTACAGTATAGTGCAAGTTGTCACACTCAAGAGGTAAGATGAAATCCAACACTGGGATTTGGGTAAAAGAATCTCAGCCTTTTCATCTACGGGGCCTCTTGTATTTATAAAGTACCGGTCATTAACATCTTTCCCCTACTCAGATCAAGGAGTATACGTTTGACTATCCAGGGAGCTCCCTCCCATGTGGCTATGTGACAAAATTAATGTGGCTGAGACCACTCCACTCATTCCCAGAGTGAGAAGAGGGCACGCTAATGAAACCACAACAAGACTCGGACTTTAACTCCATGATTCATGGAGCTCAGGATGAGTAGTGGTGCCTCTTCTAAGAAGATTCAGACAGGAGTGCTTGCAAAACTACTAGTATTTTTTTTTTTAGCCTAAAGTGAGCAGTGGAGACCTATTCTGCTCAGTGAGGAGGAGCTGAGCTAAGAGGCATGAGGGTCATTTATCTTCCTTAATTATACCTGGTTGCCACTGGACTGAAACTGGAGGTCAATATCTCATTGTGAAGTTGTCCTTTGAAGCCCTAGGGGAAGTCTGGGGAAGCACAGGCCATTCTAAGGGGAGCTCCTAATGAAGCACCACCTACCATTTCTCTCCTCCATATATGAATCCTCTTGAATGTACTTTCATACTTGCATTAACTAGCACGAGTGGAGGAGTCCCAATTTAATTAGAAAACTCAAGAAGTCATCTTTCCTGGATCACTAGTGGTGACTTCCCTGTTGTCTGTTCTGATCAGGGGCAGGCAAAGCAGCTTTTCTTTCACATCATTCTATCTCCTTTAGGAAAATTTCAGAAGGAATTAATGGATAGCACAGGGTTGTCATGCTTACTGACAAGTTATGTGCTGTGCTGGTCATTTTCTGGCAGGGTAGGTTTTACATTTCCCTCTCTCCTTGCTGGAATCCTCGAGCCCAAAATCACACGGGCAAATCCTGTTACTGGTATCCAAGGGATCCTGGGCTCTTTTATTCTTCTCAGCTGTACTTAAAAGATCAGTGACTACTTACACTCTTAAATACAGGAAAAGGCAAGAGAGAGAGAGAGAGATAAGAGAAAGTTGGGGTGGAGGGGGAAACAGAGGAGAGTTTGGGGCCTGGATAAGTCTCTCTACTATCACTATCAAAGAAAAGGAAAATTGGCCCCAAATTAGTCATGTTTGGCAGCCCAATCTGTAAACTTCCACCTCTATGGGCTCAGCAGCAGTTACTGGTTTTAGGGGAAAAAAGTGGGGTAAACATCTGAACTAGGCTGTGTATCTTTAACACCCCCTCCCCCTCCCCCACCCCCCAATGAAATTTAACTGGGGGAGATTCTCAGGCTGCTCCTTTCAGTTCTGTAGAATAATGAAGGGAGTTGGGAGAAGGAGAGTTATTACACAGGATGGCCCTCCTCGGTGCTTCCACTTCAGGCATCTATCCCACCTGTCAAAACCGATGACGTGGCTGGGGACCAAAGTGCATAGGTAAGTTGTGCTCCAGTGGGACATTGATTGGGGGAAATTCATAGTTCACTCGCATATTTGGCAAAGGAGGGACATAGGGAGCAGGGATGGGGCCAAGGTTGAGGGGAATATTGTTGAACATGGGACGGACAGGAGGCAAAGGAAAGGGTGGGTGAACAAAGGGATAAGGAGGGATCCTGGCTTGGTGAAGGTTTTGTGGAACAGGTCTTGGGATGACTTCAATCCTCTGGAGTTTTTCAGGAGCTGCCTCCATGGGGGGCCCAATCCGTTTGAAGTTGTTCTCTGAAAAGGACATTTGATATTTTAGAAAAAGAAAAGTTAAAACCTAGGTTCAATCTGTAGTTCTAAGAGACATGGTTGCCTCTTCCAGGGGGTGTGGACTTGGGCTCTGAGTCTATGTATGGTAACCACATCCACGGCTCCTATCTATGAAGACCAGGTGTGACTGTATAAGGTAATGAAATTGGCTCCACAGCAAACACTGCAGAACATATGTGCCCAGATCACTGTGGCTGTTCAAAGTATTCATCCTAGGAAGCCAGATACTAGTTTTACTTGTTTTATTCAACCGTGATGGCAAAAAGGTTAGTTCTGAAGCCCCTTCCAATTCTGAGCTTCTATGTTTCCTCTTTCAAATCAATTCAGTTCGTGAAGTATTTATTGAGTCCTATACACCAGGGAATGTACTAGGCACTGAAGAAACAAAAAGAAAATTACATTTTACTGGGAACTACGCTCAGAACCAATCTATGGGCTATACAAGTCTAGGGTCACTACTTTATAGCTACAATTCATTCTGGACAAAAATGTTATGAACTGGCTTAATCTACTGCTATCATAGATGTATCAGCTTTTATTCTAAATGGCTGTTGGCCATTTCTCATGATTAAATCCACCCTCATTCAAGGAAGATATGCTCCCAATGGAGCAACTCCTATGCTATTGGTTCTGGAAGTAGTTCCAAAATGGCACCATTAGTATATGGCCTCCCCCCTCTACTGCCATCCCTAAGACCACCAGTTTGAAGGGAGGGGCCATATTTATTTGTATGTATAAATTATGATATTTTCCCCCCAAATTACCCCCACTACCCAAATGAACCAGTCTCTTATTATGCTGACACCACGTACAAACGACTCAATAGATTTAGTTGAGCTTGCCTCATTAGCAAACCTGGGCTTGTGGAAAGGCTGACTCCAGTCAGAATGTGTTCTCTGAGCCTTTCCCTTACAATTCACCCACACTCATGCTGAAGGCTGACGGGAAAACAGGCACATTAATGCACTGAGGCAGGAGCTCTGAACTGATCCAGCCACTGTGGAGAGCAATTTGAAATTATGCCCTCCAAAACTGGGGATATGATTAAACTGGGCATACCTTTTGACTTAGTCATCTCGTTACTAAGTCCATACCCCAAAGAGAGCAAAGAAAGAGGAAAAGGACATATACGGGCAAAAACACTTACAGCAGCTTTTTTTTTTTTCCCGTGGTGGCAAGGAACTGAAAACTGAAAGAGTGCCCATCAACTGGGGAATGGACAAACAAGTTGTGGTATATGATTATAATGGAATACTATTGTGGTATTAAGAAATGAAGAAGGGATGGTTTCAGAGAAACTTGGGAAGACTTATAGGAACTGGTGCAGAGTGAAGTGAGCAGAACAAAGAACATCCTATAAAAGGACAACAATATCGTAAAGACAATCAACTATGAAAGCCTTAGGAACTCTGATCAATGCAGTGATCAGCCATTTCAGAGGACTCATGATGAAATAAGACACCCACCTCCTGACAGGTGATGGGTTCAAGAGGATAGATTGAGATGTGATTTTTTTATTTTTTTATTTTTTGCCATGGCTAGTGGGGGAATTTGTTTTGCTTGACTCTACATGTTTGTAAAAGGGGTTTTGTTTTTCTTGCTTTCTCAGTTGGAAGGAGGCAGGTTGGGGGAGAAGGGAACTGGGGATAAAAGATGGATTTTTGTTTGAAAAAAATTAATTTAGAAAACAAATAATTCACCCGCATTCCTCTACAAAGATCTACATTAGATTGAAGAACTTGCCTCCATTTTTCTTCTTTTGCTCTTCTTCGGCCTCCTTCTGAATTTCCTGGATAAGCTTCTCGTCATCTTCCTAAAAAATAAAAGAACTGGTAAACTTGTTATGGGGGCAGCTAGGTGGCATGGTGAATAGTCAGGCTGGAGTCAAGAAGACCGAGTTCAAATTTGGCCTCAGACACTTTCTAGCTGTGTGACCTTGGGCAAGTCACTTATCATCAATTTGTCTGCCTCAGTTTCCTCATCTGTAAAATAAGCTGGGGAAGGAAATGGCAAACCATTCCAAGATCGCTGCTAAGAAAACCCCAAACAGGACCATGAAGAATCAGACACTACTGAAACGACCTGACAACAACAAAAAAAACTTGTTCTCACAATGGCAAGTTATATTCTGACTACAGCTTTGGCTTCAATAAGCTGGCATAATGGATTAGGGTAGCACATCCTGATCCATTAGATGTGTAGCTGGGTCACAGACCTGTCTCGAGAATTTTCTTCTATTCATTAACCAAACCAACATTAACAGCTTAAGTCCTATCCTTCCCAAATCCCTCCTCTGCCCTGCCCTGGCAGAGCCAGTCCACACTGCAACCCTGCCTATATACAAACCAGTCACAATCAGCCTTGTGAAGGAGCAATGGACCCATCAGCAGAACTCCATTTCTGGATGGGTGCGATGAAGCCACACTCTAAAGCTACCAATCTGAATGGCAATTCAGTTCAACAACTATTTGTTAAGTGTCTTATTCTGTTTTTCCTCTCTCTTGAGCCCAATAGAATTTGTACAGTACACCTAGTGGTTTAAATGAAACAAATACAGCATTTACCCAATTCATTTGGCCACAAAACACTTTGAAGCTTGACATATACTGAGTTAAGAAATGCCCTCAATAATCCATAATTGCTGGTCCAGAAGTCTGGAAAGGTGTACATAAGGGTACTCTTTCCAGACTCACTCCTATCTGTCTGGTGTGAAATGGGATATCCTTGACCAAACTGCCTCAATGTTTGTGGGAGAAGGATTTCTGACAAGCTGATCTGAGGGAGAGGGAGATCTTTTCTAAATGAGCCTCTGCTTTGTGCCTGTTGGAGAAGGAAGTACTATGCTTGTTTTGGGGAAGTAAGGAGCTAGGGAAAAGATATGACTACTATGAGGTTCCTCTGCTCCCCTTGATTCCCCAGTGGCAGTCCTCTTATGTTTTAAAGCAGGTGAGCAGGTGGGTGGGAAGGAGGAGAGGGGAAGAGAATGGGATTAGGCTTGTAAAAGTCGAAGGGAGGTGGATCCCCAAACCAAGATGAGGATGACCATCTACAAAGTCCATGTAACTCGAGGTACTAGTAAAGAGCAAGGTCCAGGTTTGCTCCTCCACCTGGTAACTCTATCCCTCCTTTTCCTGCTCCTTAGTTCAAACTCCTATATCATCCTAGAGCTCCCCTTCCAGGCACAGGAAGTAGGCATTCTCTAAGAACTCTTCTCTCCAGAAAGTTTGGTCTGGAACTTGGTTTGGTACAGGAATTCTCCCTCTGTGCTCACGAGGTTTGGGCCTAACATTCTTTGTCATTCTTCCACTGCCATTATCTACTGCTTCCTCTGGGGTTGTGTGATTATCTAGAGGTGCCTTAAACAACTGGACTCTCCAAGAATAGTTTAACATGCACAGAAGCTCAATGCAGAGGAAGGCTTAATAGTAGCTAGGAAAATTCTCTCTGGTCAGCTTCTGGGTTTACATTTTTAAAGGGAGTGGATTCATCTCAGTTCCTACAACTCTAGAACGGCAGTAGACACAGTGAGAAAGATTTTACTTGTTATAACGCCAACTCTTTACTTCTGTGTTGAGCAACAAGTAAAATTATTTAGAAGTACTGGGGCTAAATCTACTTCTTACAGTCCCAAATGTGAGGGCTTACAGATTGCTATTTAGCCCTTGTTAGATAAACTCACTGGCTTGAAGAAAACCAGAGTCTGTAACTCTCCTGTCCACCTGGAGAGCCATTAAGCTTTTAAATGCCAACCCTGCATTAAATATTTATGTTCCAGGAATATCTTTGGAGTGTTGGTTTCAACAGTTAAGCTTAATAGGTCTTAAACCATAGCTTTGCAGTAGCTAAACTGCATTAAAGCCATGGAGATATGAGCACATACTAAATGGCAGGAATATACCAACATATTACTAGATCTTTGGATGGAGAATTCTCAATGCTTTAAAATACAAATATTATTAATTAGAAAGAGATTAGCTTTTACGAAAACTGTGCCACTATCCTATGTGGTAGGGTCTTTCCCTATTAGCCACCGGCAGTAAAACTGGGAAGCAGACTGGTGTAGGTGCAGAAGCACTGTACTGGCAGTTGGTAACCTTGAGCTCTGGACATTCACCAGTTGGGGGGGTCATAAGCAAGTTTCCTTCCCTCTTGAGGCCTTGGTTCCCTCCTCTGTAAAACAAAGGCAGGTAGACTAGATGATTGCTAAGCTTGAAAAAGCATATGACTCGTAGTAATACATGTATGTGTACTATACCTTAAAAGAAAGGTAAACTGAGGGATAAGAGTTCAAAAGCAAATACAACTAAGACAAAAGTGCACCAGGCATTTTATTAGCTGCCTGGCCTTTGGCATAGGAGTCCTATCAACTTGATGAAACACAGCTACATCAGGCAAATCAAGAATAGATCCCAATTTGGGTTCAGGTCACTACCACAAATGACAAGGAAGTTAGACAATTACCTAGATTTGAGGTTTCAAACTTGAGACATGAGTGCCATCAGCAGAACTAAAGCAATTCCCTGAGTGCCAATGGCAGGCAGAAAATGGAATAGAAAAAAAAATAAAAGGGATAGAGAAAAAAGGAAGAAGCACAGGTTGGGTAGAAAGCACCAATAATTCACTCAGGGTACTCTGAGTGACACAAATGCTATAGATTGTCTAATTATGCTAAGAAATGCATTTTGGTTGTTGCCTTCCTAATTATCTTTTCCTAGTTACTAGGTTTATCCAGGTAGTTTTCCAGGAGAAAAAAAGAAACATACTCTCTAAAGGTTTTCTCATTACCATCTAATTTGATTTTAAATGATTTGGTTGATTATAATTGCAATTCCAGCTAAGAATCAGCTGTGGGAGTTTGCAGAGACAGAGCAAGCCTATGCTTTCAGAATATGATTCCATCCAACAGCAATTTCTCGGCAGCCAGCATCAGTAGACAAACCACATTCTTCCAGTAGCAAAACCTTACACTGTCGCATGATGCTTTTGACAGAATCACTAGAGTGTGAGGAAGGAAAAAGAGCTTTTCTTCTCTGCAGAGTTCCAAGGTCTATACACACTCACACATGGGAAAGTGCCAGGCACCACTGAGCTAGGGAACGGATGGACGCACACATGGCATCTGGTTGGCTTTGATCACTAGTGATATTTTCATGACAAGTCCAACTGTTCCTGACAAAAATTCTTCAGTGAACACATCCAATTTCTTCCTTTAAACATTCTCTCAAGTGTATCTGAGGTACTTGCATAAATGGTTTTGTGTGTTTGGATTTCTAAAAACTTCCCAGAATGGATTTGCTGGCTTGTGCTACTAATTTGACAGATCAACTTGCTTCAAGTGATGCTTGATTTAGTATTTCAGCTTTTTTTTTTTTGGGGGGGGAGCCCCTTTTATACTTTTTACTTTGCCTTTAATTAATCCTCCCAGTTAGTAGCTGAAGGCCATTTTAAGCTTTGATTGGCTGCTTCCTCAGATATTTAATTACAGCCACAAAATAGTTCGAGCTTAATTATCTTACGGAATCATTTTTTTTACCATAAATTCTGTGTATGTTTCTCACTATCCTTAGATTCTGGAACATAAGTAGAAGATTTCAACCTCTGAGTCAAAGGACATAGCATATTTAGCAATGGAAGAAATGAATGAATAAATAAATAAGAGGCCTAACTAATAACTTCTTATATGTTGTTATGAACACAGCCTCAAAGTTTCCAGAATCTAGTTCATTTTTAGTTCTATAAACCAAGTGTGGAGGCAGTTTGGAATCTCAGTTCAATAGTGAACTATTAGGACTTGTGGTGGTCCCTGTTTCCAAAATGTTCTTTGGTCTTGTTACTTAATTTGTATGTGTTTGGCTGGCAGATGGGGTCTATTGATTCCTTTCCCAGGAAGGGGCTCTTTATAATCTTAAGGGAATAATTTCTGGTAACCCTTGCATACCATATTTCATGTTAGGTACACTTAGAAGAAAAGGTCAATTTTTTACAAACATCTTATAAAAAGAAAATCTGGGACATCTGACTTGGGGAGAAATAGGAGGGGAAAAGGGTCTAATGTTTTTGACTCCTTTCTCCCCCACAGTAGAGGGGCAGGCAACGAGCACAACAATTTATCTTACCTTTTCTGAGTGGAGCAAATTGCTACTTCTCCTCCCTTTAAGGTAAGGGCAAATGGGGATAAAAGGCAACTAAAATCTCTCACATTCCCTGTGGTATTTAGATAAGCTTTCTCTATTGCTAACAAGCAAAACAAACTTTATCTAAAGGCTCCTGGAGGAAAGAAACTGCAAAGAGATGCAGCACACACATAATGTGCTGTTTGTTCTCTTTAACCAGTGTATAAGATGAGACTCTTTTTAGATTAGATTCATCCTACAAAAAGTAAAGTCTACAAACTTTGAAATTGTAAGACATTTCTTGCCCTCTCTGGGGAACAGAACTTGATTTATCTAAATTACTTCATTTGCCCTAAGTGTGAAGATATACCAAAATGAAGAACTGGAGGAAGAGAACTATGATTCAGGAGAAAGGCTGACATTAAAACAGAGAGTCCACTTTATCAAGAGGTTTAAGTTAATTATTTTTATTTTGATGGGATTCATTTACTGAAGTCTGATTTGGCTTTATCTGCTTTTCCCTTTTTACTCTCAGCGGCAAAAGCTACCATCTACTTTCCAAATAGCAATATGCTTTCACTATGTGCATGCAAAAATTTTCCTACTCCTCACCAGAAATTATAAGCCTCAAATCATATTCCTGCCACAAAAGATTTATTGACTCACTTGGCAATAAAATCTTCAAATGATACCAACTTGT